TGTGTGTGTGTGTGTGTGTGTGTGTGTGTGTGTGTGTGTGTGTGTGTTGTTTTATTGCAGACATGCACAGGCCCTTGCTGCTTTGCAAGCTTACTCTCATTGGCTTGCACAGTTCTACAGTGAGGTCCACACTCAAAACCAGAGCCAGTTCATGAACCTCATCACATCTACAATAGATGCCAGTAGCCCACTCATCACAGCGAAGGTAGCTTGCCTCATGCTAATGCATCAGTATCATTTATGCAGAATCTCTTATTTGGATCAATAAAGACATTCAAATAGATTTTTCGGTCCAATAAAACAAAGTGCAGTTCATGGGTACTTGAACAATACAAATTGTTGGTTTCATGTTGAGTGGTTCATCAAGGGGGAAATATAATAAGAGGAATAATAACCAACACTTAAAATGTTGTTCACAGGAGCTTCTTATTGTGTTCTTTTTCAACCTTATTCATCTGGTACTTTTGCTTAATATTCCCTTTGCTTGAGTGTTGTTATGATAAAATGGGGCAATTTCATTCATTCCCATCTTGTACATAGCAGAGTAATTATTGTGATGAATTGCATTGTTTTTAAAGCTCCTTTCCACCTACTGTGTGGTGTTAATAATGCAAGCAAGTCATTTTGAAAACAGGGAGAGGAAGATGTTAAGGATTTGGCTGAGATAGAGAAGCGACATAGAGAGTGTTGTAACCAAATGGTTTGTCTTTATTTACAGGTACCTGAAAAGTTGCTGCTCTCAGCATGCCATCTGATGGTTTCCATAACCTCTACAGTGCGGCCTGTGTTTTTGGTCACTTTGCCAGCTGTTCGGAACATCTTCAACCTCATTACTGCAGAACATCAGACCCGCAGACTTCCCCAAGAGGTAAATGTGTGTTGCTTTTGTTTTGCATATCATTTAATGCGATCATTTAATGGATTTATTCAGTTTTGCAACTTTGAATTTAGCTTATGAGTTTTTTTTCCCTCAAAGTTTGAAGTTCTTAAAATGTGCTTAATAGAAGTGGAATTGAAGTAATTACTCTTTGTATGTTTGTGTGTATACACAGGCTCACATGTTGGTATGTAGGATTTTGTCCAACATGCTGCTCCTCCCGTGGCCGAATTTACCAGAGAGTGAGCAGCAGTGGCAAACGCGCTCCAGCAACCATGCCAGCCTGTTGGCAGCGCTCACTCGAGAGTATAAGGGAATAAGAGGGACAGTGAACGTTACTCCCCGGCAACCCGATCTGGATAACAGTCAGTACTTTTCTCTTTCTTTTGTTTTGTCATTCTTGCTGTGTTTTTTAAATTGTATTTACAGCCGTTTTCACACCCTACCATTCTTTTGACCTGCTCTAAAGAGTGTCTTCTGACCATCCTTTTTCTACTCCAGTGAAAGCAGTGATACATCAGACCCTGCCTGTGCTGAGAGATCTAGTGGACAGCATCTCTGGGGAATCCACCAAATCACGTCAGATCTGTTACCAGAGTCTTCAGGAGTCTGTCCAAGTGTCCCTCAGCCTTTTCCCAGTGTTTATTCAGCAGCCAGGTCAGTGTCTCCATCTACAGTTTGTGTTAATAATTTCATCACAGTATGACGATGATCCAACACGATGATTCCCTCACTTTTCTGTAGTTACTTGTCCAGTCACAGGGGACTGAGGCCTATCCCCGTGTGCATTGTACCTGGGCTAACATGTGTAGAGGTATTACCCAATTTTTAATTCTCACTCCTCTTTCCCAGATGTGACCGATGAGATGCTGGCCTTCTTCTTGACGCTATTTCAGGCTTTGCGAGTCCAGATGGGTGTTGCCTTCACGGGACAGATCATCCACACTTTCCTCAGCATGTTCACCAGGTAGTATTGCACCCTGTCTAGATGAATACAGGTTTTAAACACTGAAAATGCTGATATCACTATTAACACTAATTCATGTAATGTCCCTTTGTATGTGCTCCAGGGAACAGCTGGCAGCCAGTATTTTGCAAGAGGGCAGTGCAGGGTGTAGAGTGGTACAGAAGTTCCTGAAAATCCTACAGGTGGTCGTGCAAGAGCCCGGTCAAGCTTTCAAGCCCTTCCTACCCAACATCCTCTCCTTGTGCATGGAGCAGGTTTACCCGGTTGTGGCAGAGGTCAGTTGCATGAAGATTCATTCTGGAGTTTGATTTTGTTGGCTTGATTAGCCTGCCAGCACCTAAATGTAATATGTGGGGTCACTTATTACTGTCATTTGGATATCCTACAAAATGTACCTAGTGTAACAAATATATAATTGGTCAGTGGGAAAAAATGTACTTTATTATGATGTAATTTCTCAATTTATTTGGTTTTTTTTGGTGTTCATCCAATATCCTGGACAACAGTTGGTCATTTATTCTCTTGTTGTTGATAGCGGTCTTCCCCAGATGTGAAAGCAGAGATGTTTGAGCTGCTATACCAAATACTTCACCAAAACTGGAGGTACTTCTTTAAAACGTCAGTCTTAACAAGTGTCCAAAGAGGAGCTGCTGAAGATACCATGGAGAATGAGGCCCAGTTCACAGCTGCCATGCAGGTGTGTGTACACATGTGTTGTAATTATTTCAAATTATGAAATGAGCTAATTGTACCACAGCTGATGGATAAAGTTATTGTTAAATCTATCCACTTAATTTCCTGACTTTTCCTGAAATGTCTTGAACAGGCTTTTGGGCAGTCTTTCCTGCAGCCTGACATCCACATCTTCAAGCAGAATCTCTGTTATTTGGAGTCACTGAACAGCAAACACAAGTTGTATCACAGAGTAAGTTGAGCTTTTACGTCAGTGTCTTTGTTTTTAGAGGTGAAGCATTCAAATTCACTCGCATTCAAATTCCAAATTTCACTCATTCTCTTTTACCAGTCTGCAGATTGTTCTCAAGGGGAAACTTGTGTGTGTGTGTGTGTGTGTGTGTGTGTGTGTGTGTGTGTGTGTGT